CATTTATGGCTTTATTTTGGTGATTTCAAAAAGTTTTTTGTTTTGGCCATGTTTTTGTTTATTGTAGTACGGAGTTAGACTGATGGCCTTAATCTTAGTTTTCTTGTTGTTGTTGTTGTTGTTTGACTTGCATCCCACTGGGATTTTTGCACACAGCGTTGGTGTACGGTGCTATTTCAGGAATAGTTTGATGTTTTTTCCTGGATTTTCTGTTTGCACAGTCACACAAAGTCACTTTAAGATTTGTTTTTTTGTTTGTTGCGGTTGCACCCGATTCGAGAGCCGAAAGGCTCACACGGCTATACCAAATAAATGAAACTATGAACTATAGACCGTCATTTTGATGTCACCCCCTCTGATGGTGTCACCCGGTCCGGTCCACACTCCCCCAGTGACGACACTGTTAGTCAGAGGTGCGGGGGAAGGGAAGGAAACTAAACACAAAAATGAGTTATAAAGAAATGAGTTTGTCAATCTAGATGATTTAAAAGTGCATAGCGCCCAGTGGCTTTCTAATATTGGAAGAAAGAGCGTTCCAGACGGCCGCATCATCAACATCATCATGACCACCATCAACATCATCATCACCATCAACATCATCACAACCACCAACATCATCACCATCAACATCATCACCACCATCAACATCATCATGACTACCATCAACATCATCACCACCATCAACATCACCAACTTCAACATCATCACCACCTTCAACATCATCACCACCATCAACATCACCACCATCAACATCACCACCATCAACATCACCACCATCAACATCACCACCATCAACATCATCACCACCTTCAACATCACCACCATCAACATCATCACCACCATCAACATCACCACCATCAACATCACCACCATCAACATCATCACCACCATCAACATCATCACCACCTTCAACATCACCACCATCAACATCATCACCACCATCAACATCAACACCATCAACATCATCACCACCACCATCAACATCACCACCATCAACATCATCACCACCACCTTCAACATCATCACCACCATCAACATCATCTCCACCATCCACATCACTCATTGTTTTTTTCGGTAAAGTCACGTATGTAGAAATACAATAAATTTATATTAAAACAAAACAATCACGACGTTTCGATCACAACACAAGCGATCTTCATCAAGTGTCAAAAACAAATCATGGAGGTAAATACAACAAAAAGATGAGAGACGAGAATTCAACAAACCTAAAAAACATTATGTGAAGCACATCCAGTCAGGCCAACAACAGTTATACACTTCCTGGGGGACCACGAATTTCAGAGGAGTGTTAAATTTCGTGTTCAACTTCTGGATTGCACAAACCAGCATAGACAGAGTGAAAATACGAGGTACACGGTCAGTAGGAAAGACGGACAGAGAGGCAAGGAGAGAGAGAGGGATGAACAGAACCTTACATAGGAAATAAGGTTGGGGGGGGGGGGGGGGGGGCAGATGAAGATCGCTTGTGTTGTGATCGAAACGTCGTGATTGTTTTGTTTTAATATAATTTTATTGTATTTCTACATACGTGACTTTACCGAAAAAACCAATGAGTAATTTTATGCAGTCACGAAAGCTTTAATAATTTATTACCATCAACATCACTATCTCCTAGGTAATCTCAGCCACGAACTCCCCAAATACATACAATTCATTAAATGCCCAACCAGAGAAGGGAACACTCTGGATCACTGTTACACTACAGTCAGTAGAGCCTACCACGCCGTCCCCCGAGCAGCACTAGGACACTCTGACCATGCCATGGTCCACCTGATTCCTGCATACAGGCAGAAACTAAAACTCTGTAAACCTGCTGTGAGGACATCTAAACAGTGGACCAGTGAGGCTGTGGAAGATTTGCGGGCGTGCTTAGACTGTACTGACTGGGATATGTTCACGACTGCTACCAATAGTCTAGATGAACTCACAGAGGCTGTGACGTCCTACATCAGCTTCTGTGAGGACTGCTGTATCCCAACACGTACCAGGGTGAACTTTAACAACAATAAGCCCTGGTTCTCAGCAAAGCTCAGAAGGTTGAGGTTGGAGAAGGAGGAAGCGTTTAGGAGTGGAGATAGAGACAGATTCAAGGAGTCGAAGAACAGGTTTAGCAAGCGGTGAGAGAGGCTAAACGACTGTACTCAGAGAGACTAAAACACCAGTTCTCTACAAACGACGCTGCTTCTGTCTGGAGAGGGCTCAGGCAGATCACCAACTACAAACCCAGAGCCCCCCACACCACTAACGACTCCCGCCTAGCCAACGACCTGAACGAGTTCTACTGTAGATTTGAAAGACAATTGGACTGTCCTGAACCACCCCTTCCAACCCAAGAGGCCCCATCCCCCACCAATACTACAGAGACGACTATCTCCTTTCAGGAGGGAGAAGTTAATAGACTTTTCAAGAGGCAGAATCCACACAAAGCAGCCGGGCCGGACTCTGTCTCTCCAGCCACCCTCAGGCACTGCGCTGACCAGCTGTCTCCGGTGTTCACCAACATCTTTAACACCTCCCTGGAGACATGCCATGTACCAGCCTGTCTCAAGTCCTCCACCATCATCCCTGTGCCCAAAAAGCTAAGGCCAACAGGACTAAATGATTACAGACCGGTCGCCCTTACATCTGTGGTAATGAAGTCTTTTGAGCGCCTGGTCCTGGCACACCTCAAAGCCATCACAGACCCTCTCCTGGACCCCCTTCAGTTTGCCTACAGAGCCAACAGGTCTGTGGACGATGCAGTTAACATGGCCCTCCACTTCACCCTACAGCATCTGGACGCCCCCAGCATCCTACGCCAGGATCCTGTTTGTGGACTTCAGCTCTGCCTTCAACACCATCATCCCTGCCCTGCTTCAGGACAAGCTCTTCCAGCTGAACGTGCCATACACCACCTGTAAATGGATCACAGACTTCCTGTCTGACAGGAAGCAGTGCGTTAAGCTGGGAACACAAGTCTCTGGCTCCAGGTCCATCAGCACCGGAACTCCTCAGGGCTGCGTCCTTTCCCCTCTGCTCTTCTCCCTGTATACCAACAGCTGCACCTCCAATCATCTGTCCGTCAAACTATTGAAGTTTGCGGATGACACCACCCTCATTGGGCTGATCTCTGGTGGGGATGAGTCTGACTATAGGTGGGAAGCTGACAATCTGGTGACCTGGTGTAGCCAGAACAACTTAGAGCTAAATGCTCTAAAGACAGTTGAGATGGTTGTGGACTTCAGGAAGAATACAGCACCACTCACCCCCATCACCCTGTTAGACTCCCCAGTAAAAATTGTAGAGTCCTTCCGCTTCCTGGGCACTATTCTCTCCCGGGACCTCAAGTGGGAATTGAACATCAGCTCCCTCACCAAGAAAGCTCAACAGAGGATGTACTTTCTACGGCAGCTGAAGAAATTCAACCTGCCAAAGACAATGATGGTGCAATTCTATACAGCGATCATTGAATCCATCCTCACCTCCTCCATAACCGTCTGGTACGCTGCTGCCACTGCCAAGGACAAGAGCAGACTGCAGCGTATCATCCACACTGCTGAGAAGGTAATTGCCTGCAATCTACCGACCCTCGAGGACCTGCACACGACAAGGTCTATGAGGCGAGCGAGGAAGATTATGGCCGATTTCTCCCACCCTGGACACTCTCTGTTTCAGCTACTCCCCTCCGGCAGAAGGCTTCGGTCCATCAGGACCAAAACCTCACGCCATAAAAACAGTTTCTTCCCATCTGCTGCTGGCCTGTTAAACAAGGCCAAGGGCTAACACTGTTTTTTAACATTTGATCTACATAACGACACGTTGCTGATATTAACTATGTTTCCCTATTTGTATTTTTAAATTATATCTTAAAGCTATTTTATATTCGATATTTATTTAATTTTATATACTTCAGCCCCTTAGTGTTAGACTTTTAACCCTTATTATAGTAAGACTTGTTTAAAACTTATTTAAGATTTTAGATTCCTATATGTTGAATGTATGCACCATCCTGCCAAAGTAAATTCCGTGTCGGTGTGAACTTACATGGCGAATAAAACCCTTTCTGATTCTGATCATCACCACCACCACCATCAACATCACCACCACCATCAAAATCATCACTATCAACATCATCACCACCACCTTCAACATCATCACCACCATCAACATCATCATCACCACCTTCAACATCATCACCACCACCAACATCATCACCACCTTCAACATCATCACCATCAACATCATCACCACCTTCAACATCATCACCACCATCAACATCACCACCATCAACATCATCACCACCACCATCAACATCATCACCACCATCAACATCATCACCACCATCAACATCATCACCACCATCAACATCACCACCACCACCATCAACATCACCACCATCACCACAATCGTGTATGAATGTTGAACTTCTTTTACAACGTACGTAGGCAACCGTGCTAATCGCATGTGCGGAGGGGGAAGGAGAACAAACTAAAGACGACAACAACAAGCAGTTCTAAACAAATGTGTTCGTCAACCTGAGATGTGTTGTAATGAATGTTTCGGGAGCAGATCAGAATCAGGTGTGTGTGTGTTATGGGGTGATTCTTCTGCCTTTCCTGCACGCACCAAAGACGATCGTGTTAATACAGTACTGTAATGTATCGTGTCTTTGTTGTGATATTCTCCACTCCCGTGCCCCCTACTGGACATCTGTGATATAAACAAGAAGAGAGCTCTCGGATTAAAGATTCGGATTCTCAAATACGAAACGCACGGCCGTGATAATCGATTCACCGATTATTTTGTGAAACCGATACCGAATCGAGACCAACCGGGGGCGGGGCGGTTGGCAGCAGTAATCGAACCCAGCTCCTGGGAATTAATCGACATGCGGATCGAGCAATCGATCCGGGCCCGGCCAACTCTTCCTCTTTGTATTTCCCATCGCGGTTCGGGCTCTTCCCCCGACCCACCGACCCCCGCACACCCCCACCACGGATGCTCGCGATTGGCCGGAGCGCCGTCGCCTCGCGCTAGCAAGGCGGCGCGCCATTGGTCCAAGGCGCTTATCCGTGTTAGGGAATTCGAGGCGAAAGGGGGTGGTTTTTTAGCGCTGTGGAGGAGCGAGAGGAGTGGAGGGTTGGCGGTGGACGAGGTGGACGAGACGATGGCACGGACGAGCGAATAAAGGAGGAGGAGGAGGGGAGGAGGAGGAGGGGAGGAGGAGGAAAGGCAGCCTTGACGACACGAGGAAGCCATGGACAAGCCCGGGCAGAGGAGGTAGAGCGACTCGGCTCGGCCGTTTGGGCGCCAGTAGGCCCCGGGGCGTCTGGGTTACATCCCCGGCACGGAAATTGCCGAGAGTTGTTGGGTTAAGCCTCGCTCGCTCCTACTCCCCGTGTGTCTCTCTCTCTTATCTCTCTCTCCCGTGTGTGTCTATCTTCTATCTCTCTCCCGTGTCTCTCTCTCTTATCTCTTATCTTTCTCCCGCGTGTCTATCTTCTATCTCTCTCCCGCGTGTGTCTCTCTTATCTCTCTCTTCTCTCTCTCCCGTGTCTCTCTTATCTCTCCCGTGTGTGTCTCTCTTATCTTTCTCCCGTGTGTATCTCTCTTATCTCTCTCTCCTCTCTCTCCTCTCTCTCCCGTGTGTCTATCTTCTATCTCTCTCCCTTGTCTCTTATCTCTCTCTTATCTCTCTCCCGCGTGTCTATCTTCTATCTCTCTCCCGTGTGTATCTCTCTCTCTTATCTCTCTCTCCCGCGTGTCTATCTTATATATCTCTCCCGTGTGTATCTTTCCCGTGTGTATCGCTACGAACTCGGCAAAATAAAACAAACACCCCCCTCCGAGTTCGATTCCCGCTCGCGGCCCGTAGAGTTGGCGGTGGGGAGACAAAGGCGGCCGGGCGTGCTGTTTGCTAACATTTGCAGGCCGACTCCGATTTACACGGTTGGCACGTGCGGCGCGAAAGAAGTTCTACATATTGTGTATACATACAGTATATACTGTACATACAGTATATACTGTATGTATATACTTACTGACTCAAAACCGAGTCTACCCAGAGACCCGGAGTAAATCCACAACAATTACAATCTACAGATTTACAGATTGTAAAAGTTGTGGACGTTTACTCTCCAACACAACCGGTGTGCGCTGTAACGAATATGCCACGTTTGTTTACGTGACAGCCCTTACTAATGTGGCTGTGTCGGGTGGTGGCGGGTTTGACGACACTTTGTATATTTACGCGATCTAACCCAAGAAATAAAGAAAAAAACCTCATGGACAATATTGCTCGCGAAAGCCAGTGTAAAAGAGCTTCATAGCCTTTCAGATTTCTCCGGGACAAATAAAGATGCAGATTTCTCTGGTCTAACAACACTGGTGATACTGAGCAACACGATGACAATCGGTTTCAAAGACAATGCCATATGTTATTATCAGAGTTCGTTCGCATGCCCGCCACAAGACTGAATTCCTTGCAAAAAGTTTATATTTGTTGTTTGAACATCTTAACACCTACTGTTTTATTGCTTTTATACTTTGATGCTGGCAAAAAAAATGTCCCGAGGTATAGATTAGAGCCTCTGTATAGACGTTCTAGCAAATTAGATGATTTGGGTGCCTCTGTTTATGCTCCAGCTAACCCCCACCACCAGCGCAATCGCAGCAGCTGGAGTTCACGCACTCGAGCTGCTGCGATGGGTCTCATACCCGGTGGAGGAGCGGCTCTCTACGGCCACTGGCGGCCCCTGGGTGGACTTTACTAACCCCCCCGATAATACACAATAGAACGTGAAAATACCCCCATCATCGTCATCGTCGTCATCGTGCTGCTGGCTAAACCCCCAATGGTTTCAAATTTGCGTCGGAACTCACTAACACACCGATTGATGTGCTATCGGCCAAAGTAGCCGCCGGCTCTTAAAATGAGCGAAGAACGCCGCTCCGCGCTGTTTCCCAACAGCTTTTGGAACCTCGACCGGCCCGTCACCCAGCCTTTTGCTTGCGCAGCACGTGATCACCCGCATTTGTGGTTCTCTCGTCCGCGATGTCCACATCCTTCCCCATCGCACCTTCTGCATGTCGTCGGCTCCATCAGTTTCACCGCAGCCTGCCCGCATTTTCCTCTTTTGATTAATATGAAGTGTAGTTAACGTACCTGTCAACCCCTTATCAGTGCCCTACCTTATTACAGACCAATTCAGACCTTATTGGTCACCCCGTGCCCCTTATAAATCTCAACGTTCATCCTACAAAGTCCCATCATAAGGAGAGAAACACAAACAAATAGACAAAAACATGTTTGCCCATATTGATACGGCTGTACGCCGTATGGACCTAAAAACTAAATTTCCCTGTACAAGAATACGGGGTAAACCGTGTGGGCTGTGACAGCTGTGAGTTAAGAGCCTGCCGCGTACGGTTAAATTCCTGGCACTGAAAAGGGGAAGGCGCCCGAGCTCCGTGGGATGAGTTAGATTCCGAGTATAGGCGACACTCTAATCTTAGTCCATCCCGGTGGCTGGAGTCACTCTTAACCACTGGGATGAGTTCGAGTCTGAGCGTACGCGAATAGGAGACTGTCTCAATCTCTCACAGGCCTCTTTGAGACAAGGTGACGAGATGTTAACTACCTTGCCTGGTATACAAGAGGTCGTGGGTTTGATCCCGACCCTGATGCATGCATATTTCTCACTCTCTCCCCATGGTCATGTGGATTTCTCTAGGTCGTCCGGTTTTTCACTCCAAATTTAGAAACACGCATTTAGAGTATTTGGCTGCTTATATATTTCCACGTGATGATGATAAGCCACTGAGTTGAGCTATCATTTGTGATAGGTCACGTCTGAAAAAGAGCCACATACCTGATCAAATAAATAAAACATCGTGAAATCGTTTAATGAAGTGGCACAGAGTGAAATGTGTGAATATCTTGCAACAATTGGAAATACATTTGGTAAATGTATATTCTGTATTTACTTACGGTGTATCACAAAGCTGAGACCATGGCTGGATGAACAAATGGTCTGTGATTGGTTAAATATATCTGCGAAGTTGTTGAGACGTTGGTGGGGCATTGGTGGGACCTTTGTGGAAACAGTATTGGCAGAGACTCAGTTTCTCTTTCTGCATCTGCGTGGACAGTAATCGGTCACTTAATTTCAACGCAGTCCAAATGTGAAGGATATTTAAGGATTTGATCATCACAAAAGGAGGCGAGTGGGCTTGGCTAGGACTCGTCGCTAAGCTACGAACTAAACAATGTTTTGTTTAACGGGGAAAGGCCCCACTGAGCTACGTAACTCTTTTTCAGAAGCGACCCTTGCCAATCGCAAATTATAGCTCAACGAAGTGGCTTATCATCACGTATAAATCTATAGCAGGAGCCAAATAATCTTAAATGCGTGATGTTGATTCTGAAATGTGGAGGTAAAAACCGGAGGACCCGGAAACAAATCCACGCGACCATGGGGGAGAGAGACATGAAAACTCCAAATATACAGCAGGCGTCTGGGTCGGGATCGAACCCACTATCTCCTTTTATACCAGGCGAGGTAGTTAACATCCCACGACCGTGTCACTAGAAGGGATGTTGGACTGTGGATGAATATTAATATCGGGAGTGGCAGCCAAGGTATGGACCACGTCCGAGAGAACGTCTAGCAGGGAGATGAAGCGATGCGACCGGCGCCTTGGTGTGCTAGATTCGGTTGCTGCATCGCGTGATCGTGAGCGACGATGATAGCTTGGGAAGGGATCTTCGACTTCTCGTGTGCTGCCACCAGAGTCGCACGTATATCTCGTATCGGGCTCGTGATGATGACGTGGCCCGGTCTGTAGCCCCGAGGGCGTTCTGCATGGTATACACCTCCTCCGTGAGCTGCTGCATGGTCTCTGTTTCCCCAGTCACGTGTGTCAGTGTCACTTTGTTGTCCTTACCCCGCACCTCTGATTGGCATGGTTGGCTACGTTCAGTGCGAAAGACGTTCGGCACGCATACTCATGATGCTGTGTGGTCGGCTCGAGCGGTCGCGTGCGTACGTTGAACTTCTTCGTGGTTGGCCACGGCTGATGATGACGGCAATGACAATGCGTGGGTTTGTGTTTCGCCATTCGTGTGTGTCATTGTAATAGGTTGACCATGGCTGACGACGACGCAATGACGACGACGACGATGATGATGACGATGATGATGATGATGCAATGACGATGACGACGATGAGCTGTCGCGCTGAGCTCGGCTCTGTCGTGTTCCCGCAGCACGCTGAAGAAGCTGAGTGAAGACAGCCTGACGAAGCAGCCCGAGGAAGTGTTCGACATCCTCGAGAAACTCGGAGAAGGGTGAGAGCTCCCCCGCTCCGTCTCACAACCACGGCCCACGGCAGCCGCCAACCCGTCACTTAACCCTTATAACCCATTCTGATGATGAACGCGGTGTACGTACGTGTGTGTCGTCGGTCTTTCCTTCCGATTCCGTTCCGATGACGTGCTTGGTGCATGAAAGCGATCTGTGTGGGCACGGCCGCCATTTCCTTGCCGTCACATCCTGCGCTGCCAACACAGGAATCCCGCGCTGAACCCCTTTCCCGCTTCAGCGACGGAACCGGAAGAAGAAAAAAAACAAAAATAAATCGTGTCATCGATGCCGAGGCTCCCACAAGGCCGTGCAGGAGGGGCCGTGCGTGACACAGTTTGGCTGCCGGCTATCGTAGAGTGGCGGCGGTCGTGTCGCTACGGTTCTCTGCAGTGAGTAACATTGTTCATTAAAAACAACGGCGTGACTACCGTGCCTCTCTAAATAAAATGAACGCCGAGCCGCTCGTGCGTTCCGAGATTCAGCGGTGAACGGGGACACCCACCGCCTTGCTACTTGCAGACGTCTCGGAGCGGGAATGGGTGCTGACGTCGCCACAGTAATTGCGCCAGGTTAGGTGCACTTTGAAGGCATCACGTGACGTGTAGAAGGCCACGGGATAGACCCTGGTGTTATGGGCTGACTGACTGAGGTGACTGGCAGATGCGCACCACCTGTGCTCCCCACGATGCCACCTTGCTGAGGTTTAGCCGCCCGGCGCTCCACTCGTTGTTGTGAGCGTCGCTCCTCTGCCCTCCGCTACTTGTTGCAGGGCGACTGCCTCCAGCTGCCCTATAGCCTCAAAGTACACCTAGCTTGGCACTGCCCTCGAGCGTCCTGCTCGAGCCTCCGTCTCACACCGACACACGCACACAGACACACGCACACCGTCATGAGCCCTGTTCTATCCATTGTTGGAGTAATATATAATTTTAAGGTTCACTTTGAGAAACATTTCATGTTTTTTTTATTGAGCGCTTTTATCTTTTTATTAAAAGGCAACGTTTTTTGTCAATCAATTAAGAGTAACTTTGAAGAAAAAATGTAAGGCTCCAGTTAAGGCTCCAGTTAAGGCTCGTACACCGTTAAAATACATTTAACTCGCACAGTGTCGAAATCGGAGGGACAATTACTCAAGCGCTGCAAACCTTATCTGGAGCGCTGGTCGTTAGTAGAGATAAGGATGCCCTGCGGCGCGAGATGTTGACTCCCTCGCCTGGTATACAGGAGGTCTTAAGTTCGATACCGACACTGATGCCTGCTGTATATTTGGAGTTTGTGGATCTTTCTTTCTCCCCATGGTTACATGGATTTTTCCCTCCACATTAAGAGTCAACGTCACGTGTTTAAGAGTATTTGGCTGCCGCTATGAATTTCCACACGATGATGATGATGATAAGCCCACTTCATTATCATTTGTGGTGGCCAGGTCGTGCTTCTGGAAAAGAGCTATGTACCTCAGTGGTGGGGCCTTACCTGGTAAAAAAAAATAAAGACTGGTGGAACTCCCGTGCCAGCCAGGGCGAACGCCGGAGCTCCCAGCTCCCCAGAATTGGAATCTTTTATTTTATTCTTGCAGAAATCCGAAGAGCTGTGAAGCTCTTTATTTTTCTCTCCACAGATGCGCCCACAGTGTTGAGCTCCAGCCACCACCACGCATGTGAACCACCCCCGTCCCTCCCTCGGTGCACGCAGCCCGGCAACAGGGAATTGCAATGGCAAAAAGGCTGACCGGTATCCGGCGTTGGGATGTTTGGGCCGACGCCAGTCGCATTTGCATTTGGCTGTGGGAGGAGACCGGAGGAGAAACCCACACAGACCAGGGGGAGAGAATACATGAACTACATTCAATAAATACCAATACCCCAGCCATTCGCCACTGAGTGACGGTGACGTCACCACGGCACCTGTGCTTTGAAGCCACGTGAAGTGTCGAAGGCTCGCTGACGGGAGGTCACAGGACAGACCCAGCAGGTGCCATGGGTTGGCTGACCGAGATGACCGGTAGATGCACCAGCTGTGTTGCCTGTGTTCTGTGTGGTTGTGTGTGTTGTGGGGAGCGGTAGTGCAGCGGTTAAAGCACTGCGCTGCGAACCCGACGACCCGAGTTCAATGCCCGCTCACGCCCAACACCATTGACGATTATCTGAACTGGTCCTGAGCCTCCCCTAAGTCGACTCGGGCTCAAACGAGTACCTGGTGCGGTGTGTAAACATCGGCACTTAGGGAGACAAAGGCGGCCGGGCGTGGTGCTGGCCACCCACCCCCGTCGTGTGCCACAGTGCCCGGCCTTCATACGTGCTGCTCGCTAACAGCACTTGCCTCCAGCAGTCTGGTAACCCTTTACGTTTGTGTGTATGGACACACAGCTCCTATGGCAGCGTGTTCAAGGCGATGCACAAGGAGTCGGGCCAGGTGGTGGCCATCAAGCAGGTGCCCGTGGAGTCCGACCTGCAGGAGATCATCAAAGAGATCTCCATCATGCAGCAGTGTGACAGGTGCTGCCCGTGCTTGCGTCGCGCTCACTTGCTGTCTCACTCGGTCACACGCCGTCTCACTCGCTCACCCGCTGTCTCACTCGCTAAATTGCTGGCTCACTCACTGATCACTCGCTGGCTCGCTCGCTGGCTGGCTCACTCGCTGGCTCGCTCGCTGGCTCGATCGCTGGCTCACTCACTGATCACTCGCTGGCTCACTCGCTGATCACTCACTGGCTCGATGGCTGGCTCACTCGCTGGCTCACTCACTGATCACTCGCGGGCACGATCGCTGGCTGGCTCACTCGCTGGCTCGCTCGCTTCGCACCGCACCTCTGATTAGCACGGTTGGCTACGTACGATGGGATAAAAGTTAAACGTATACTCACCCACTCAGCCACCCACTCATCCCCGGGCTGTTAGTATCTTTATGTATTAGTGTCAATTGCCTAAATATTATGAAGTAAATTTTTGGGGTGAAAAAGGGCGTAACTTTCGGAACGAATTCAGCCTTCAACGTGCATTTCCTATACTCGCTTAACGACCGGTCTCGTGGTTACCAATTACCGTCGTTAGGAGGAGGGGGGTCCTACTCTATATCTATATTATGCACGTAATTTGCACACCGGTGGTTGTACAGTGTCGATGCGCTATGGCTTACCGAGCATCCTCTGTAGTACCGACGATTGCCTGCTCCTACTCCTAAGAGTAGCAGTAGTCGGAGGTTCTGTGCCACAATCCTCCATCCCATCTCTTTCGCTTCGATTCAAGTCCTTGTGATCCCCACCCCCCTTGTTTTCGGGAGCGTATCCCCAGGGGGGGTTGGTGGGCGGAGGCCGTGAACCGGTGGGTGTCGTGACCTGTACCTTTGATATGTTTTAACAAAATTATTCTGCCAGAGCGTGACTCTCGCTTATGGTTGGAATGTATTCCTTGTCGTCGCGTTTGTGCGATGCATTTTTCGGTAGTTTGGCGGTGACCTTTCCCCCCGGGTTCCACTCTCTCCCTTTCTCTCTGGTGAACGAGACTCGGATCCTGATCTTGACCTCCCAAGTTCCTCTCCCCTGGGTTTAAAACAAAATCAGCTGACCCCTATTCCCCTCCCCTTCCTTCCCCCACTAGCCCCATCCCCCTTTGTCCCTTTATGTAAGTAAAAAATTGTTGAGTTAAATAGTAAAACTTCCCCCCCCCCACCGCATCCTTCCCTCCCCATATGAACTTCCCCATGCTGCCCACTTGGGTGGCGGCAGAGAGAGCCCAAATCTCCGCCCTGCTGGGGTTTTTGTCTGCGGAGTTTCTGTTCCCCTCCCACCAACCCCCCCCCACCAACCCCCCCCCACCAATCCCCCCCCACCAACCCCCCCCCCACCAACCACCCACCCCCGACACGCGCTCACGCCGCTCCGCCTCCGCAGCCCCCACGTGGTCAAGTACTACGGCAGCTACTTCAAGAACACTGACCTGTGGATTGTGATGGAGTACTGCGGAGCCGGCTCCGTCTCTGACATCATCCGCCTGCGCAACAAGACGGTGAGAACGGCGGCGCGGAGCGGTGTCCTCGTTATGTCGTCATCGTTAGCGCCGGCGTCGTCGGCGTCATCATTGTTAGCGCGGTGATCGTTTGTCATTGTCATCATCGTTATTGGCATCATTGTTAGTGTGATCGTCGTCAGCGTTATTGTTAGTGTGGTTAACATCATCATTGTTAGCCTGATCATTATCATTGTGAGCGTCATCATCATCATCATCGTTGTTAGCATGATCAGCATCATCATTGTTGGTGTGATTGTCATCATCATCGTTACCCGCATCATCGTCAGGTCTTCATTTGTCCTTGTGCGTTTACGTGCGCGTGTGCCTCTCCGTGTCCACCCTGCGTGTGCGTGCGTGCGTCTTCTTGCGTTTGCGTGCTTGTGCGCGCGTGTCGATGGGGTTGTCCTGCGTGCGTGTGGGCATGCCTCTCGGGTTGTCCCCGGGGGTCACTCATCACTCACGCCGTGCCTGCATCCCCCCTCATGTGCTTCTCCCGTGTGACCCCGCCCCGTGTGCCCCCTCCGCATCGCCCCCCGTGTCCCCCCCGCCGTGTCCTCCTCCGTGTCCCACTGCTCCAGCTGACGGAGGACGAGATCGCCGCGATTCTGAAGGCGACGCTCAAGGGCCTCGAGTACCTCCACTTCATGCGCAAGATCCACCGCGACATCAAGGCCGGCAACATCCTGCTCAACACCGAGGGCCACGCCAAGCTCGCCGACTTCGGTGTGGCCGGGCAGCTCACGGTGAGCCTCGCCGCGCCGGGCCACCGCACCGCCACGACACAGCACACCGCGCCACGACACCGTGACACTGCCACGCTCAATCGCACCACACCGCGCCGTGCTCTAGCATGGCGCACAGCCACAGCTCAACCGCACCACACATCAGCGCTACCACTCCGCAGCATGCCACAATGCACAGCACATCACAGCACACCGTAGTACCGCGCATCCCGCTACATCGCCACCCCTCCACACTAGAAACAGAAACTACGGCCTGTGTCATTGGTATGAGCGATATGGGATGTGGTGATGTGTTTGTCACGCATCGTCATCGCCCTCTAGTGGCAGACTAATGCTCATGCGAATGCTGCTGCATGCTACTGCTGCATGCTACTGCTGTACACAGGGACAGCTGCCAATAGGGGGCTCTCTTGCCAACACTGCAGAAGAGCATGAGCACAGAAATGGGGAATTTAAGCAAGTGCCCAATAAATACGCAAATTCTTGTTCCTGATTCCCATGATAGCGGTGGTGGTGATGGTAGTGGTGGTGGTGACAATGGTGGTGGTGGTGATTGTGGTGGTAGCAGTGATGGTGGCGGTAGTGGTGACTGTGATAATGGTGGTGGTGGTGGCGGTGGCAATGGTGGTAATGGTCGCGGTGGTGAAGGTCGCGGTGATTGTGGCAGTGGTGGTGGTAGCGGTGACAGTGATGGTGGAGGTGTTGGTGGTGTTAGCGGTGATGATGGTGGTAGTGGTGGTGATGATGATGTTGGCTGTGGTGGTGGCGGTAATGATGGCGGTAGTGGTGACTGTGATAATGGTCGCGGTGATAATAGTGGTGATGGTCGAGGTGATTGTGGCAGTGGTGGTGGTAGCAGTGACAGTGATGGTGGAGATGTTGGTGATGATGGTGGTAGTGGTGGTGATGATGTTGTTGGCTGTGGTGGTGGCGGCGATGGTGATGGTGGTGATGCCGGCGACGGTGGTCACCGCAGGACACGATGGCGAAGCGGAACACGGTGATCGGCACGCCGTTCTGGATGGCGCCCGAAGTGATCCAGGAGATCGGCTACAACTGCCTGGCGGACGTGTGGTCGCTGGGCATCACCGCCATCGAGATGGCTGAGGGCAAGCCGCCCTACGCCGACATCCACCCCATGCGGGTGCGTGCCCCCCCCCCTCTCGCCCACTCCTCTCTCCCCCCACTCAACCCTCCTTCTTACTCGGCACTCTCCCCACTGCCGCGCTTGCCAATCTCTCTTCCCCGCACTTCTCCACTCTCCCTTCCCTACACTCATCCCTCTCCACTCTCCCCCCTTCCCACTCCCCCCTCCCCTTGCCTCCACTCCCCACTCCCCACTCACCACTCCCCACTCACCAATCTCCCCACTGCCTCGCTCGCCACTTTCCCTTCCCCACTCTCCCTTCCCCACACTCATCCCTCTCCGCTCCCCCCTCCCACTCTCCCCCACTGTACCCTCCCCTCTCCAGCCTCTCCACCTCCCTCCTGTGTGCCTGCCTATTTGTAATGAGCGACTTCCGCGACACGTCGTGTAGAGGGCACTCTTCTGTATTCCACGTACGGGCACAGCACAGGCCAACATTATCGGCTTCCTCTCCAAGTACACACTTAGATATTAACCTTCTACAGACTACACACACGGTTGATCGCACGGCGGTTCCACCCGTCCGCTCCCGGTCTCGCCGCTGGCTGACGGCGTGCCGGGGAGGACGGTGGAACTCCGCAGGAGATCCGCCACGTGGCCGAACGACGGAGAGAGATGACGGCGAGCAGCGACGCAGTCCGGACCCAACACTCCACACACCGACCCCGAGTCCCCCCTCCGCTTGTATTGCCGCAGCGCGGCTAGGCTCCACCTCTGCTTGTATTGCCGCAGGCGCGGCTTGGCTCCGCCTCCGCTTGTATTGCCACACGTGCGGCTAGGCTCCGCCTCCGCTTCCGCTTGTATTGCCGCAGGCACGGCTAGGCTTCACCTCTGCTTGTATTGCTGCAGGCACGGCTAGGCTCCACCTCTGCTTGTATTGCCGCAGGCACGGCTAGGCTCCGCCTCCGCTGTATTGCCACACGTGCGGCTAGGCTCCGCCTCCGCTTCCGCTTGTATTGCCGCAGGCACGGCTAGGCTTCACCTCTGCTTGTATTGCTGCAGGCACGGCTAGGCTCCGCCTCCGCTTGTATTGCCGCAGGCACGGCTAGGCTTCGCCTCCGCTTGTATTACCGCAGGCACGGCTAGGCTCCGCCGCCGCTTGTATTGCCGCAGGCACGGCTAGGCTCCGCCTCCGGCCACGCCCTCTCGTGGAACTTTCTAGCCGTTCTTGGAGTTTCTCGGCCGGCCCTGCCCTTCGCCTCTGACCCAGATACCTCTCCCTTTGGGGATTGGATAATGTTTATAATGGTGCCTGTACCCATGCTTCCCTTTTCCAACCAGTAAATGTCACTATCTCATTACATATTTACCGATTTGCTGAGATTTCCTATACATTGCACTCCTGTAGCAGTGAGTCTTTTTCTCTTGTTTGTTGTACATTTCTGTACCTACCCCTGATGTTGCCCTTCCCCCTAACCTCCGATTGGCGCGGTTTGGCTACGTATGGTGCGAAAGAGGTTCCACATACACACCTACACACTGGACATCTGTGACAAGAGCTTCGGATTCCTCCAGGATAAATAAATATTCTGATTCTGCATATGCGTGCGTGCGTGGCACCGCAGGCCATCTTCATGATCCCCACCAACCCCCCGCCTACGTTCCGCAAGCCCGAGAACTGGTCTGATGACTTGACGGACTTTGTCAGGAAGTGTCTCGTCAAGAACACCTACACACTGGACATCTGTGACAAGAGCTTCGGATTCCTCCAGGATAAATAAATATTCTGATTCTGCATATGCGTGCGTGCGTGGCACCGCAGGCCATCTTCATGATCCCCACCAACCCCCCGCCTACGTTCCGCAAGCCCGAGAACTGGTCTGATGACTTGACGGACTTTGTCAGGAAGTGTCTCGTCAAGAACCCGGAGCACCGCGCAACAGCCACGCAGCTCCTGCAGGTACCGCAGCGCACGGCCGCCTGCAGCGAGTGGAGAGAGCGGAGTGAGATGAGAAGGGAGAGGCAGGAGAGTGCGTGGAGGGGAGTGGAGTGAGATGAGAGGGGAGAGGCGGGGGAGTGCGTGGAGGGGAGTAGAGTGAGAGGCGGGGGAGTGCGTGGAGGGGAGTGGGGTGAGATGAGAGGGGAGAGGCAGGAGAGTGCGTGGAGGGGAGTGGGGTGAGATGAGAGGGGAGAGGCGGGAGAACACATGGAGATGAGAGTGAGGAGCCAGGCGGAGTGAGGAGGCCGTGCTGGTGGTGGTGGAGCGAGCGTGCCGTGTGCCGACCCCCTCCCCAGCACCCCTTCATCAAGGCCGCCAAGCCAGTGTCCATCCTGCAGAGCCTGGTGGGGGAGGCCATGGCCATCAAGGTGAAGAGGCAGGAGATGGACGACGACCTAGACGAGGAGGACGACAACTCCGTGAGTGAACTCGCCGCGACCTCGCTGCCCTTCCGCCATACGACCCCCGCTCGGCGGTGGCTGGTGCCGCCTCGCTGCCCCCTCGCTGCCCCCTCGCTGTCCCTCGCTGCTCTTCTGCGGCACGACCCACGACCCCTGTTGGTCCGCAGCCCTGCCCTTCGCTGCCTCTCGCTGCCCCTCGCTGCCTTGTAGTATCCTTCCAGCCATTGAGCTGCCCCGTTTTCCCGCTGCCTTGCGCTGCCCTGGTCTCTACCACTGCCCAGTGGCGATGAGTTGATCTGAATCGGAATGTTTATGTCAGAATGGGAATGTTTATTCAGACTGGAGGAAGCCGATGAGCTATGAAGCTCTTTTTCCAGTAGTGGTGGTGGCGGTGGTGTTGGTGGTGGTGACGATTGGAGTGAGCATTGGTGTAGCGATTAGCACCGCTGCGTTACGACCCCAGCGACCCAAATTCAATTCCCGCTCACGACCAACATCGGTGACGAATATCTTAACGGGTCCTGGGCCTCCCCTAGGTCGGCGTCAAATGAGTACCTGGTGCGGCGGTGTAAACATCTCGCCACCGGAGAGACAAAGGCTGATCTCATCTTGTGTAGATTTATATAGCAGCGCCTTATTCCAAGGCGCGTTACAGCAATTGTTAAATTGTACAAAAGATGACATTGGTTGAGATAAAGAGTAGTGGCGTTGTCATTAAAAGTGGTGGAGTCATATCATAATAGGGTTTTTCTCCTTTTTTCTGGCAACAAACTGACATCTTTTTACAAGGATTCATGTCTGCATTAACCACAATACCTGCAGTCAAAATGCAAATAAAAAAACATACTATGATAATATATGCATTGTCCTTGAAACTGATTGGTCCACACCAAGGGACGGCTTTCTTTGAAAGTGTGGACCAATCAGTTTCAAGGACTGCATATATTATCATAGTATGTTTTTTTGTTTGCATTTTGACTGCAGGTATTGTGGTTAATGCAGACGTGAATCCTTGTAAAAAGGTTTCAGTTTTGTTGCCAGGAAAAAGGGAAAAAAAACTATTATATTTTGGTACTGGCAAAGGAGGTCTGATGGTGGAGTCATGGTGACAGTGACGAAGACGGGTGGGGAGCGGTCAAGGAGGGATTGGGATAGTGATTGGAGTTGGGGTAGTGACAGGGGTAGTGATAGGGGTATGAGTAGGCCTGGTCATAGCTGGGGAGTGGGGGCAAGGAGTAGCAGTAGCAAGAGGATGATGATGCCGGGCTAGGGGAGAAGAGATGGGGGGTTTTTTAAGGGAGGAACAGAAGCAAGTTCGTAATTGTTGATGATGATGTTGCAAATGCTGCAGATTATGCCAATGACGCCGATAATGCCGAAGATGTTGTCGATTCTGCTGATGATACTGCTGATTATGCTGACGATTCCCCTGATGATGCTGCCGATTCCCCTGATGATGCTGCTGATTCTGCTGATGATGCTGCTGATTCCCCCGACGATGCTGCCGATCCTCCCGATGATCCTGATGATTCCCCCGAGGACGCTGACGATGCTGCCGATTCCGCCGAGGATGCTGCTCACAGTGCCGCTGATTCCGCCGACGGTGCTGCTGATGCTCCTGCGGATGCTGATGATGCTGATGATGCTTCCGCCAATATTGCCGCCCATTCTGCCGCCGCCCGGGCGGGGCCGGGTGGACGTTGTGCAGGACGAGGAGGCGGTGGACAGCGGCACGATGCTGCGCATGGAGGACGGCGGCGACGCCACGGCGGCGGCGGGCGGTGGCGGCGGCACGATGAGAGTGGGCGGCACGACGGCGCTGAGCGATGGCGCCCGCACCATGATCTCCCACGCCGGTGGCGACGCCGCTACCATGCTGAGCTCCGACCTGGGCACCATGGTCATCAACAGCAGCGAGGACGACGGCGACGAGGAAGAGGAAGGCCGCGACGGAGACGACGACGACGGTGATGGCGAGGTCGTCGACGGCACCATGAAGAGTGAGCCCCGGGGGGGTGGGAGTGGCCGTGGTGGTGGTGGTCGCGAACAGCACTAGCCCCAACAGGCTGCTACACAGGGGATCTTTGTCTGTGGTGGTGGTGACCGTAGTGGCTGTGTTGACGGTGGTGGGGAACGGTGGACCCGGGTAAGATTCTCACTCGCGGCCAACACTGGTGACGATTATCTGAACCGTTCCTGGGCCTCCGCTAGGTCAACTCGGCCTCAAATGAGTACCTGGTGCGGTGTGTAAACATCGCCACTGGGGAGACAAAGGCGGCCGGGCGTGGTGCTGGCCACCCACCCCCTCGTGTACCGTACCGGTGTTCGTAGGTGCTATTCGCTCACAGCACTTGCCCCTACAGTCTGTTAAGGCTATACGGGGGATCTTTGTGTGGGTTGGTGGTGTGGGTTGGTTGCGGTCGTGGTGGTGATGGTGTGTTGGTTGTTGGTGTGGTTGGTGGTTGTTGTGGTGGTTGTGGTGGTTGTTATGGTGGTGCTAGTTGGTTATTGTTGTGGTGGTGCTGGTGTGTGGTTGATCATGGTGGTAGTGATGATGGTGGTGTGTGGTTGGTCGTGGTGGTGTTATGTGGTTGTCCGGCCAGGCATAGACACGCCGGACCACCGCACACAGCGCCCCTCCTTCATGGAGTACTTCGAGGCGAAGGACCGGGAGAGCAAATCTGGGCCGGGCTCGGGGGGGGCAGCCAGCAACGGGCGCAAGGCCAGCGGGCCCCACGCTGACTTCCGCATCCCAACGGACGGAGACTTCGACTTCGTACGTCCGCATTCACGCAGTGGGCTTGGGCACACGCGGACACGCGGGGGCACAGACACGCGGGGGCACAGACACGCGGGCACAGACACGCGGGCACAGACACGCGGGGGCACAGACACGCGGGCACAGACACGCGGGCACAGACACGCACATGCGGACGTAAACGCACGCAGACACGCGGGGGCACAGATGCACGCGGGCGCAGACACGCACACACACGGGCTTAGAGGCACGCAGACACGCGGGCGCAGACACAGACACGCGCACGTCTACACGATGATTATGCTGGTGGTGGTGATGATGCTGACGATGATGCTGGTGTTGATGACGCTGGTGTTGATGATGATGATGACGACGACGATGATGCTGGTGTTGATGACAACGCTGGTGGTGTTGATGATGATGACGACGACGATGATGCTGGTGTTCATGCTGCCCCTGCTGCTGGCGGTGGTGTTGACACTGCTGCTGTTGCTGTCACTGACCGCCGATGTCACTGACCGTTGATGTCACCGCTACGCTGCTTCTCATGCGCTCTGATCGTCGCCCCACCCCACCCCTTGCATCGTCGTCGACCGCCGCCGACATCACTGACCTCTCCATCGTCTCCACCTCCTCGTCCTCTACCTCGTCCACCTCCTCGTCGTCATCCCCGTGCATTGTGTGCGGCCGATATGGCGCTCCGCAGCTGAAGGTGATGAGCTACGAGGAGCTGCAGGCGCGGCTGTCGGCGCTCGACCCGATGATGGAGCGCGAGATCGAGGAGCTGCGCCTCCGCTACCAGGCCAAGCGGCAGCCCATCCTGGACGCCATCGACGCCAAGAAGCGTCGCCAGCAGAACTTCTGAGCCCCCCCCCCCCCGCACCGATCAGCCTCCCTCCCCCCCCGCCCCTGCCCCGGTCCTTGGCTGCTTCCAGGCGTAATCGCCCGCCCGCTCGCCCTGGAAGTCTCGCCGACGACAGACTCTCCTGCTGCGTCATCGTTGGAGCACGACTCCCCTTTGACCCCTGGCCCGGGCTTCCACCGCTCTGCCTCTGCCGCCCCCCCCCCCTATCCTGCTACCCCACCCCCCACCATCTCTCCTCTCCGAACCCCGGCGCGGTGGCGGTGGCGGCCGTGCCAATCCGCGTGCCGGCATCCGGTGCCGGTGTTTCTCGAGTGGCCTTGGTGCAGCAAGCGGCGGTGGCGCAGCAGTCGGTCGGTCGATCCGTGGGTGGGAGGAAGGCAAAAACGTTTCCTGACCCACAATCCTTTGTGCCTCGAGAGGCCACAACGCCATCATCGTCGTCTTCGTCGTCACCATTGTCACCATCGTCATCGTCACCATCGTCATCGTCGGTCTTCCTGTGTTTGCTCTGTACGTCTGTTCTCTTTATTTATTTAGTTTCGCTCGCCGTGTTTATGTTTATCTTTGAACCTCCACCCCCCTCCCCCCTCGGGGGTGTCCACCCGGCTCCGCTCATCGACTCGTCTCGGCGGCTCGCTCGCCGCCCCTCGCAGTAAACTTCGTTTTTATTTTATTCTTCCTGACCACCAGGTGAGGCCCGCCGCTGAGCTTTCCGTGGCTCTCTTTGGGAAGCGGCGGCGCGACGAAAGTGGCCGATATCCTAATCATCATCGTCGCGTGAAGATTTATAGTGACAACCCGAATACTCTCAAAACACACGCGTGATGCGTCGATTCTCGATGCGGAGGAGAGGGACAAATCCGAGGAGCCGGAGGAAAAGATCCATGTGACCACGATGGGGAGAGAGGGATAACCAAGCACACTCCAAATATACAGCAGCAGCAGGCATCGTCAGGGTCAGGATCGAACCCACAACCTCCTGCGTACCAGGCGAGGGAGTTAACATCTCCTGACCACCGTGCGTGGGAGGGGACGGCGTTCCCGCAGGGGATCACCAGCACCCGTGACCCTGAGCCACCTTACCCCCCGATGTGGGAATTTGACCCCGGGCAATGGAGGTAACGATGATGAGACTGATGATGATGACACCCGATAGCGCAACGAGGCGGCAAAGGGTCCGGGTTCGATTCCCGACTCGGGGCGCCTCTGTGTGTACTTGGAGTCTGTGTGTTACTTCTCTCCCCCATGCATACCTGTCAACCCCTTATCGGAGCCCTACCTTATTACAGAGACCTCATTGGTCACCCTGTGCCCCTTACAAAGCCCCATCATAAGGAGACAAACACAAACAAATCGACATTATTTTTTAAGTTGCCCGTATTGAAACGGCTGTAACAGCGTGTGGACCAGAAAAAAACTAATTTCCCAGTAGAAGAATCCGGGGCAAACCGGTACGGGTTGCCAGCTATGCCCCTGTCATGGGTTTTTCCTCCGGGGTCTAAAAACGATGCGTAACGGTGCGACTGGCGTGGGGGCCCACACATCGCAGTGGTGAAAGATCACTCTCTCGTTCGCTCGCTTGGGATCACACGCGCACACAGCAGCGAAATCGCCGCCCCCTTCCACCTCTACAAAATCACTTGGCAGGACCCCTCCCGGAAAAAGAGTCTTTGAGACTCGGCGACGCTTTCCCGGGTGAACGAGTCTTGCGGAGGAGCGGGGCCGAGCGGCAGTGACTCGCGGCACCCTGGGAACAAACCCCGCAACGTTCCAATCGGAATGTTCAGACTGGAGGAGGAATCCGATGAGCTATAAAGCTCTCTTTCTCTGCTGTCCAGTCGAAGCACGGGGTCCGAACGTTACAGCAACGAGCGATACAATAGACACTGTGCAATACCCCCCCCCCCCCCGCACAGGTTTACGTGGGGGTTGCGATCCCTGCAAAGGTGCGACGTCGATCGTCTGCCGTCGCGCCTCGTGGGTCCGCCAGCGAGCCAGCGCGACCATCGGCCAGCCGTGCCTCGCTTCTGCTTCCGCTCGTTAGCTCGCTGTGAAAGAGCTTCGTAGCCCATCGGATTCCCCCAGTCCGCTCACTCGCTCGCCCGGGCCATCCTCGCGTGGAGCCGGAGATGAAGGGAGGGGGAAGGAGCATGGAGGAGGCTCTCCCCGCAATGACGTCTCGACGTCGATGGGTTGACGGTCGCTTACCAGCCGGCTGTTGGGGGCGGGGGGGGGGTCGGTCTGTGGTTGCTCGCTCGCAGGTGGAGCAGCGAGTCGCTCGCTTGGTCCGTTGGGGTGGAATGGTCGGGGGCAGGGGGGGGGGGGTTGGGGGGTCATTGCGTCGGGGGGCCCTGCGCTGGGCGCTGTGCCGCTCATGGCGGTAATTTAACCACTCCGCGATGTTCTCGTGAATATCCATCGCGTTTAGTCTTTGTCGAGCTACGCCTCCTCGTGGAGAATCGCCCCACTCGGGGCATGGTGGGGCTGGGTGGGGTGGCGGAGCCGCCGTCCCGTGGTCTTTCTTTGCTTTATTTTTAATTGGCGTCTGGCTCGTGACCACTTGGGGGGGTGGGGGGGGGGCTCCTCCGCCGTGAATTAACCTCGCGGCAGGGTCGGACGCCGCGCGGTGGATGCGCAGTCTTCATCGTCGCCATCGCCACCATTGCCACCGTGAATTCATCAGCATCGTTATTGTCATTAAACGTTTTCTTAATTTTCATCATCAGTCACCGCACCATCGTGTTCATCATTACTGTCATCGCCCTCATTATCGTCGTCGTCATTATCTTGACTCGTAATCATTATCGTCATCGTCACTGTCTTCATCACCGTCGTTGATATTGCTCGGTTATCCTTCTCTGTTACTGCTTCCTGATGGCAACGCGGTGAATGAGCACCATCTACTTTGTTATCCTCTACCATTTGAATAAATATTTTGTTTTCGTCAAATCCGATTCTGCTCGTTTAACAAACTCATCTGTTCTTAGATTGGGCACGGAGCCGTGTGACGTCTCGCAGTCACGTGACGTAACGCGATCACTTGACGTTTCGGTCACGTGACGTCCGGCAGCCATGTGACGTCTCGGGCTCATGTGACATCTCGGGGTCACGTGACCTCTAGGGGTCACGTTTTCCTCTCAAGGAAAGTTTTCTTTTTTCCCCACTCCAGATTTTCCAGCGCGGTTTTCCGGTCTTCGCCCGTGCGTGGGGAATGTCTTCTCCCGAGCTTTCGCCACGCCACTCGCTACTTTCTACAGCATCTGTAGTATTTATACTGCAGGGGGAATCCGATGAGCTGTGAAGCACGCTACAAACACGATGGGAGTGCTAAGTACAGGAAAGGCAAGATAGGGAACGGAACGCCTGTCGTTGCCTGCAGTAAGCATAGCGAGCGCTTTTTTTGCACAGAGATAGTGAGAGGTAGTCACAATTCTTCGACTTATTGTCGTACAGCTGCTGATGTAGATGGCAGAGCAACAGCTACAATGTCACATTGAGGTGGTCAAGCCAGCAGACAACCGCGTCAGGAGCAGAGTGTATCATCGCTGTGATGTCTCTAGGAAAATGGATCTCTGTGGGTATCGCTGACTCTCCGTGGATCTCTGTAGGTCTCTCTGAGACTCCATGGATCTCTGGGTCTTTCTAAGTCTATGGATCTCTATGGGTCTCTCTGAGCCTCCATGGAATTCTGAGTCTGTGGGTGTCTACGAATCTCTATGGGTCTCCACGGGGTGTATCATCACCGTCGCCGCTGCGATGTCTCCTCGTATTTGCGGATGGGTGCCATTGCGTCATCACAAGTTGTGCGGTCTGTTCTGGATGACCACGGTCGCACACCGCTGAAGAGATTTTAATTTTCCATTCGTGCATCGGTATTTTTTGTCGACAGTGGAGGAGAAAAAGAGTGAAGGGGAAGTCTTAAGCCCGGACTTGGAACAGAGGGGCAGGGAGCCGACAGCTCGGACGTCTGGGGGAAGGGAGTTCCGGACTTTTAGGAGTAGCCAGAAACATCGCTGCTATGCAACATAGACGTCAGACTACTGGGGATCAGTATTTAAACTGAACTATTAACTAGAGGACCTTTCTTGCAAGTATCAAATGAAAATTCTGAATTTCTTTTTTTACCCTTTCTGTCAATGACACAGGTGTTGAGACGTTTAAACGCCAACGACCTATTGTGGTATTTGGTGTTTGAACATCTGCCAAAAAAGGTCCCATAATACAGCTGCTCACCCCGAGCTATAAATGCTCCGGTACTTGTGGCATTGTCTTTGTGCTGTTCGCCTTTTGTTGTTCTCTGGTCTGACACTGGTGGCAGTGAGACTGGGCCATGCAGAAGGCTGCGGTCTCTGGTGTAAGCCAATCAGATAATGTTTTGTTTGCATTAACCACAAGTACTTGATTCCTTGCAGAATGTTTATATTAGGTGTTTGAACATATTCTTGGTTCTTTCGGTAAAGTCACGTAGAAGGGAAATAATAAAATAATAAAAATAAAACAAAATTATCACGACGTGTGAAAACCACAGCAAGAACATTTTCTTGCTGTGTTTGAACATCTTAACACCTATTCTGATTTTTCAGACTACGAACTAAACTCAACTTTTATTGTACCAGGCAAAGCCCCACTGGGCTATGTTGCTCTCTTTTTTGTAGAAGCGACCCTGGCTATAACAAATGATAGCTGAACGAGAAGTGGCTTATCTTCACGTGGAAATTTACAGCAGCCAAAGACTCTTCAACGCATTACGTTGATTGTAAATGTGGAGGGGAATAACCGGAGGTCCTGGAGAAAAATCCACGCGACCACGGAGAGACACGCAAACCCCAAATATTACAGCAGGCGTCAGGGTGGGGATCGAACCCATGACCTCTCTACCAGGCGAGGTAGTTAGCATCCCGCAATGGTGGCGAGATGTTAACTACCTCGCGATTATGGAGAGAGATTAGCTTCTGGCTCTCTTCAGTTTCAGTTGATATCTTTTGGTATAGCCCTGTGAGCCATTCGGCTCTTGAATCGGGTGCAACCACAACAAACAAAATCACGAACAAGAAAAACATCTTAAAGTGACTATGTGACTGTGCAAACAGAAAATCCATGGAAAAAAACAGCAAAATATTCCTGAAATAGCACCGTACACCAACGCTGTGTGCAAAAAAATCCCAGTGGGATGCAAGTCGAACAACAACAACCACAAGAAAACTTAGATTAAGGCAATCAGTCTAACTCCGTACTACAACAAAACAAACATGTCCAAACAAAAAAAACTTTTCGAAATCAAAGAAGTCAAGTAGAGGCAGTATGGTAGCTTTTATCAATTCCAAATGGAACATTGGGGGGAAGCAGTGCTTGTGTCGATACAGAAAACCAATTTTTATTTTTGTCTTTTTACCAATATAATCAATGTGATCTTCAAAATTCAGTTTTGAATCCAGGATGACCCCAAGATACTTATAGATCTTGACTTGCTCTGTTTGATAATTATTTAAGGAATGTAATTGGGGAAAAATAACTTCCTGCTTTAGTCCTGGTGAGAAGCATAGCACCTTGGTTTTGGAGGTATTCAGGACTAGTTTAAGAGCAAATAGCTGATGTAGTTTGTTGAAATCACCCTGTAGCTTAGCAATCACGTCATCCGGAGAGTGGCCAGCAGTAATCAGTATCGTGTCATCTGCAAAAAGATTTACCCTGGAATGATCCAGGTCAGTGCCCAAGTTATTGACATAAAGAGAGAACAAGAGGGGGCCGAGGATGGAACCCTGTGGAACCCCTTTTGTTATCTTAACACTGTTTGACCTCCAACCATCTGTGAATACAGTTTGGGTGCGAGAAAAGAGGTAATTTTGTAACCATTTTACTGCGTTTTCGGAAAAACCGAGGCAACTTAGTTTACGAAGCAAGGTGTTGTGGTCTACTGTATCAAAAGCTTTGGACAGGTCTAGAAAAAGACAGGCACAGTACTGCTTATTATCAAGGCTACTGTAAATGTGATTCAGAGAGTCTAATGCAGCAGATGTGGTACTGTATTTTTTTCGGAACCCAGATTGTTTTAGATGTAGTAGATTATTGGTGGACAGGAAACTGCTAATTTGGTAGGTCAATAATTTTAAAAAAAAATTCATCAACGTGGACAAAATTGAGATAGGTCGGTAGTTATTTGGATCATCTTTAGGCCCCCCTTTGTGAAGTGGACGGACATAGGGATGTTTCCATTCTAGAGGAACTGATGCTCCTTTGATGGACAGGTTGAAAATATGGGTTATAGGTTTGTATATTAGGTGACCAACAGTTAGTAGAGCAAAGACGGGAAAACTATCTGCTCCGGTAGAGGAGGACCCTTTCAGGTAGGACAGTTGTTTCAGAACATTACTTTCGTGGATTGGCTGGAAACTAAATTCGTTTAATGTTTGGACAGGGGTGTAGGAATTTGCATGAGCAGGGGTGACTCCCAATAAATTATCAAAAGATTACCAGCTTCAGAAAAATGAAGGTTAAAATTGTCAACAAATTGACATGTTATCGTCGGGTTCTACCGCTTCTGTGCTGTATCCGACGTTTCTCTCCACGTGCCGGGAGCCTCTTCAGGAGCCGATGGGCGTCGTGACATCGTACCGTCGATTGTGTACACGCGGGGTGTACGTGATTACAATGCCGCACGTCATCGTGGCGTCATACTGGCCGCGTGTGTGTTAGTGTGTAAGCAAGTTGGCACAGTAGGGGGCACAGGTGGTGCATCGGCCAGTCATCTCAGTCATCTCTGTCAGTCGACCCGTGGCATCTGGGTCTGCCCCGTGACCTCCTGCCAGCGGGCGTTCGACACTTCACGTGGCTTCAACGTGAACATAGCCTGGCACAAGCGCCGTGGCGAATGGCGGTTCTTTTTGTTTATGGGGAGCGGTGGTGTAGCGGTTAGCGCGCTGCGCTACGAACCTGGTGGCCCGAATTCGATTTCCGATAATGGCCAACACCAGAAACGATTATCTGAATCGGTCCTGGGCTTCCCCTAGATCGACTCAGCCTCATATGAGCACCTGGTGTAGCGGTGTGTAGTAAACATCGCCACTAGGGAGACATCAGGCGCCCGGGCGTGATGCTGGCCACCCACCCCTTTGTGTGCCGTGCCGGCCTTCATAAGTGCTCCTTGCTAACAGCGCTTGCCCCAAGTCTGTTCAGGCTATACGAGGGATCTTGTCTATGTGTGACCGTTAATATGCACGACCCAGGTTCAACCCTGCTTGTGCTTACGGGATCAGAGGAGGATCGGGTGATGTGGGTTTCTCCCGAGGATTCTCTTTTGCATTTTCCTTCCCTCGCTCCCCTCTTCGATCACCGAGCGCCGTCATTATCGGCGTCGTGACGTGAGGAATCCGATCCTGACCCTGAAGCCTACTGCTGTATATTTGGAGTTTGCGGTGTCTCTCTCTCACCGTGGTCGCGTGGATTTTCCTCTGGGTCCTGGAGAAAAATCGGGCATTTAGAAGCCATGCTATTTTTCATTCTCAGCGCTGGAATATTGTTTTCTCCAAATAAAATTCGGAGCCAAATTTTGGCTAACAAGCATGACTTGCTTGAAGTGTTTCCCCCGCCAGTACTGTATGCGGTCAATGCAGACTCGATGTCTTGCAAAACGTATCGCTTTTGTCAGTTTAACACGTCGGCTTTCGCGACCAATATCCAAATATCGTTTTTTTAGTTAGAGCACCTAAATATAAATGCGTCGTTAAAGCCGCCACCACCCGAAACAGCCAATTAGTAATGTTTGTCACGTAAACAAAACATGGCAATTCGTTACTGGTACAGCACGCCGGTGTGTTGGAGAGAAAATCCACAACATTTACAATCAGAGTACGACGTTTCGCCAGTAATTGCAACAGGCATCATCAGGCGGAGAGCAGCCAGATTTGTGGAGAGATCCTCCTCCCGTTTAGTTCCTTAAATAGAGACGTAGATGTGA